GATGTACTCTGTTTTGTGCGACACCTTGGGGTCATAAGCGATCTCCTCCACTTTGCCTATGGCCTTGGCTAAAGTGTGCATCGTTTCGACTGTGAAATACATGGCAGGGATGTTTTTAATACGGATCCAAACAACGAAAGATGTTAAGACATCAGGTGGAGGGTCCGGATTCCAGCGTTCCAGAATCATTGTCCAATGATTGTAAGACCATGGACGATCTCTGAGAACTGTTATGAGATCTTCCTCACGTTGAAAGATAAATTGAAACCGGTCTCTTGACAAATCAATGCCACACACTCTATCATATACTCTCCATGCAGTAGGCATGTATTCAATCATCTTTGCCATTGATTGACAGTCCGGGTTTAGAAGACGACCCAACAAACTTATCTCGTTTGCTGCCACCACCCTGAATCTGGGGCTATCGGGAAGGGTGATAGGTTCATCATCCTCCAACGACATCGAACCAAGAGCAGCGTGCAGATTATCTGCCATGGCAGAGTTGCAGTTGGCGAATACGAGATGGTCGCGGCGGAGCAGAGGATGAACACTAGGTAAAAGGTCAATGGAGATCGTATTAAATTTGCATTTAAGAGTGCAATATTCAGCAACACTTTAAGGAATTCATTCTTGATTTCACTGCTTGGTGAACACGGGATTGTCACAAAAGGAAAGAATGTCTTTCAAATAAGGGAAGAGGAGATGTAAGAGAATCGGATGATTGTCAAGTTGCCTTTTTTCTATACCGTTGCAGTAAATGCCGGCAAAAAACCCACTCAATATCGAGGGGGAGAATAAGGAAAATAAGACAGGCAAACCCTCTAATACAACTAGAGAGGCCTAAGCAAAAAGAGGATTTTTTGTAAAATTATGATTTTGTTTGCCCTTTGATGATCATCTAATAAAAGGGTTTCGACATGTCTCTCTTTTTTTTTTTTAATAAAAAGGTTACAAAAGCCCAGTCCAGATTTTGATAGTAATATGTTTTTGCTTTTTGTGTGTTTTTTTTAAAAATTTTTTTGATTTAATTATCAGACTAAATTGTTGTAAATCCATTTGGCTGATTTATAACAATCCGTTTAATTTGATTTTGAAATCTACTTATTTGGATTTTAAAATCAATGGATTCATCTAAGATTTCTAAAAATCCATTAAAATATACAAATCAATAACCACCACTTAGTAAAATCACATAATAGTTTATGGTGGTTCAAACCCGGAATGAATAGTTTCTGTATAAGAAAACAACAAGCACGAGACAAAAGATAGAATGAAACAGAACTTGTAATCAAATCACATAACAGTTTCTCGACTTGCCCAAGTAACCAAACCAAATGTATAACAACAAGAAAAGAGACAACACGAGACAGATAAAAAAACGTTCGTGTGACAAAGTTTCCTGAGTTTTTGTCTACATATATATTCTTGAAAACATGATTTTTGTAACAATATATAATCTCCCAGATTTATTTGGGTTTTTTCTTGGTGAAATCTGAAATCGCGTAATATAAAGGGGCGTTACCAATGTTAAAACTAGGTTGATTAGTCACTGGAGCTTCTGTCTGGTACGATATGATCGACTGGGATACTGTTGCTGCTGGAACCTACTCCTGTTTGGTCTGAAAAGAAACGTACAACCACACAAGTTATGTTGTCTGCACTTCCTCTTTGGTAAGCTTCCATCATCAGTCTCTTTGCACCTTCCTCGGGATCTTCTATCGTCTTGATCATGCCTACCGCTTCCTGACGACCAGATTTTAACAGTTATGAGTTTTGAAGTCCAAAGATTGAGAATGCTAAAAAGGGTAATTTAGAAAGAGAAGTTTAGAAATCAAATGATACTTCATACCTCGTTAGATACAACGTCCCAGAGACCATCACTTGCAAGGATAAGAAACTCGAGAGAGCTATCGACTTTTTCCTCCTGCAATTTCCATATACGTTCATGAGTGAGCAGAGGAAGAATCGGTGAAGTCTTTCTAGAAAATAGTCTACTTATCTACGAAAGGAGATAATAGTGCAAATCCCATACCTGTATCTCTGGATCAGCAACAACGTACTGTTTTAACAACCTATCGCCAAATGCACGAGAAACAGCAAGAACTCCCCCAACTCTCCATGTTCCTTTTAGAATAATTTTGATTAAACAAATGCTATAAACACATATAAGAAGAAAGGTTTCCATTAAACYTTTTCTTACCAGCCCACATAACAAATCCTCCCGCATCCTCAATTCGCTGGCGCTCATCACTTTGATCAGGCTTGTGATCTCGGGATACAGCAATAGCTTTGACAAAAGAATTATTATATTAGTAACAGAAAAATTAACACGACTCGTGTTCGCAACTTCCTCCTAACACCCTTATGATGTATTGTTTACGACACATTGCAAATTTCAGGTTCAAAGAGTACTACCATTGATTGTAACTACACGGGTTGAGTTATGATTCAAAGACCTGCATATATAGTGTTTGACGCACTTTTGTTTTATTTTTCCCTTTGGACCTAATAATCCCTGATATATATGTCATAAAGACCATTTGGTGTAATCACCTAGTAACGTCTTCTAAGACCAGCAAAAAAAACGAAATAAATTGAACAAGCATTACCATTGCCGCCTCTGCATATAACAGCTCTAGAGTCCCCTACATTTGCAACAAGTAAACGGTCACCAACTAAGATGGCTGTTGACGCCGTTGAACCAGCATCTCTGTTCTGACTATTTTCTGATTTAAGAAACTCCGAGTCTGTTTGGTTGTATGCATCAGCTGAAATGAAAAGCAAGCAAATGAAAAACATCAGAAGGATAAATTAGGCGCCTTCTGGGTCCATATAATGAATCATCTGGCTAACAAGATCAACCTATTGCTGATGTGGTGTCAGAGATGAACTTTGGATGCCTGATTAGGTTACTGAAGAGATTTTGCTTCACATATTCAGCTGCACGCGCACCTCCATGTCCTGGACATAAACATTAGCTAAATCACCATATTTCCCTATTAGCAGCTTATCATGAAAAGAGTAAGTAAAGATGATAAATGCTAATCAGCACCCAAAAATTTGAATGTTTACATATCATATATATGTAAGGCTATAATTTGCTAAGTAGACGCCAACAAATTATGTTTCTTATGTGTCATGAGAAACTGATCTTTACTAAATCTCCACTTTACCATATCGAAACTCAGAACATCTGAGTTATATGTCTCTTCCTACATAATGATAACTGATCTACAATTCTGCATATGATAGAAACTTAAAATAGTACTGGAAATTGTTACATGCAAGATATAGTCACCAACACATTAGTTTCTGTACATTAGAGAGAGATAAATACCGTCAAAGACTCCAAATAGACCAACAATTTCCCCTTCAACGCCATCGATTCTAGTCTCGTAGAAGTCCTCCATTGAAGATCTTTTACCAGGAGAGCTTGCATATCCATAGCTGAACTTCCCGTTCTGACTGTACAGAACAAATATATGGAAGTCAGTCATTATAATGTTTACTTAAATTGCAGTAGCAGAGCAAAAGCCTTTGAAGACTCAAAGCTCTTCTGTATAAAGCCAAAAGGTATACGGAACAGTCTATACATAAGATGTTGAAAGAATGCATAAGGGTAGATTTGAAGTACAGTGAAATGTCAGTGTAGGAACTATGCCAATGCCTTAACATATAATCACACATCTAAACTGCAGACTTATACCCGGAGAAATAGTTCTACTTTCGAGGAGTGGCACGTTTTATTGATATATTATTACGCGCTATAACTCCCTTACCTACACCGATAAAAGAGTTGTAGTTTCGAGGAATGGCCTGTTTGAAGAAGGGGCTCAAGAATCAGAAGGATAAAAGTAGATACAAAAAGGACATGTTTCTCCAAGTTCTTGCCAACATAAGAGAGATATAAATGTAAGACATGAATAAAAAAGCAAGAAACTCCTCTATCCACCTAACTGCTCCTACCTACATATAATTTCTTGATATCAATCTAGATCAAAACACAACTACAAAGCTAAATCCTAGAATTTACACTAAAAATCTAGAACAAGAAAGAAAAGATTAAGCTGGAGAAAAGAGAAAAAGTCAGTCAACCTGAGTCCACCGCCGCTAACAGGTCCATCGTCGACATGAACTTGGCTCGAAGATGACAATACAGAATTCAGATATCCCATACCTACGCACAAAAGTCCCAAACACCAAATCCTCTTGTCGTCTTAATCGGAACAAAAAAATCAAAGATCGAACTCAATTTTGAAGCTGATTCAGCTTCGTTTTCCGCCGATCAAACCCTAAACGACGTTGAACACATGAAACGAATCACCAGAATGCTCAATAAAACAAATTAACCAATGAAGAAATCGAGTCCCTGCTCAACTATAAACCCCAAAATTAACTATGTAAACATCACGAACAAACGACCATATAATCGGAAACTAGCAAATGGATCGAGCACGATCAGGGGCTCACGAACAGCGAACAGCGACCAGATCAGAAAATTTGACGAAATGAAGAGAAAGAGTCATCGGGTCGTAGTCGTACCAGAAGAAGGAAGAATTTGAGATTTGACGAAGAATCACTGCAAGAACAAATTTAGGGATTCTACAATTGATCTGGTCTTCGTCTTTGACAAAATGGAGAAAAGGAAGGAAAATATATGATGACGAGGAAACAGGTAAACCTTTTTGAAAAATCTGGTTTCTCTATATGGAAACTGTATTGATCTTCTTTTTTTTCATTTTCAT